GATATAAAATTATAGCGGCTACGAGAGAATATCTTTCCAGGAAGAGGACAATATCAAAGGCAATATGTTTAGGAAAATGAAATTAGAAAATCCACTGATGACTCTTCTCAAAAGAGCCATCTATACTTGTGATTTCCAAGTCTTCCTTTTCCCTTCTTTCTTAAGCCCACTGCAATTGGGCTTTCACCTGGCACTCCACCACACCATAGGAGCTGCTCATCAGGGTTATCAAGGGCCTCCATGCTGTGAAATCCAATGGTCAATGAACAATCCCCTTCCTCTGTCAAAACCTGCCCCTTTTCATCTATTGAAAATAACTCCATCTTTCCAAGTGATCATGCCCAAAACCTTGGAATCATCCTAGAATCCTAGACACCTTTCTCTTAAATCCCTAAGCCAGTGGGCTTTACCCTTCAGAATATATCTATAATAGCCACTTCTCATTTCCTCCAATGCTGCTACATAGAAAGCTAAGTGATTAGATATCTTGTAAGCAGTTAGGGTCAGCCCTGGAGGAGTCAATAGGAAAAACAATTGAGACACATTTGTTAAAGGTCAGCATTATAAAAAAGAAAAAGTACTACACTTACACTTCCCCTGGAGATGAATAGCAGTGATTGATATTCTAAACAGGCATCAATCACCTTACAGGGGACTAAAAATCTCCCTAGCCCCTTTCCCTTCTAGAAAGTCCTTGTTTCTTCCATGTACACTTGCTATGTGACTAGCTTCATCATTTGATATCCATTTAATCAATATTACCTAAGTGACTATACTTGTAATTTTATTGATCATAGTTTTGTCTCACCTCATGATTTCTTCTTGAATCAATATTGCCTAAACGACCATGCTTGTAATCTTATTAGTTGACTAGTTTTCTCCTACCTTGTGCCTGCTTCACCTTGTGGCTTTGCTCAATAAAAGACCCTTGAAAAGCAGGGTGGGCAGGTAGCCCACTTTTCTGTCACTCTTCTGTCTCTCTAAGACAGAAACTATCTTTCTCTCAATAAATTCTTCCTACTCTAAACTTCTGTTGTTTCTAGAATTTATTCTTCGATTTTAGCAAACACAAACTTGGCGTTTCAGATATCTAGCAGGTTGGGAGTTATATTTCTCTTTTTTGTATTATTTTTCTTATTTGGATTACTTGGTACCCTGTATCACTACCACAGTGGCCTTAGCCATTACCCTTTTCTGCCTAGATTCTTAACTGGTCTCCCTGTTTCTTCTCTCACACTCACTCAGCACCAGACTACTCATAATGCAGGAGCCAGAGACCTATCAGCTCATCCACTCCTTTGGGCCCAATCTCACATCATAAACACTTTGCCATAGCTGAAAAGGCCCAATGTGATCAGCTCTTGGTCCCCTCACTCCCCTCTGGCTCCTTTTGTCTGGCCATTCCAGGCTCGTGGATATTTCTTAAACACATAGGCTGTTCTTTTGTACCTGGGAAGCTCATTTCTCAGATATCCACATGGCCAACTCCCTCCCTCCTTTAGGTGTCTGCTCAAGGAAGCCTACCCTACCCGTTTCCTCACCTTTCTCTGAGTTTTCTTTTCCTTCTCTTTCCACTTACGAATACATTGTGTGATTTACCTACTTGCTATGTTTATTATCTCCCTCTCCCTGTTAGAATATAAAGTTGGTGTGTTCTTTTATGTATCCTAAGCATCTATAATAGTGCTTGGTACATAGGTATGTTATACTCAATCATGAGAGATTAGAGAATTGCCACACTTTGAGCCAAATTTGAGTCCTTTTATTGCCAGTGATAGAGTGGTGTATGCTCAAAGACTCTCAATGATGAAAGGCAGCTTGTGGGTTTCTTTTAAGCAGCTCTCTTAGTTGCGGAGGGTTCATGGAGAGGGAGAGCACAAGTGGAATTTTACATAAGCAGAACTTTGCTAAGTTAATGGGGGTCAGGGGAATTTACACACAATTTAATTGAAACAAAATATCACACGGGTGCAGAGTATTCTGTTTACAAGGTCATACAGATAGCATATAGCTGCAGACTGCTCTACCAAATGGGAAGGTTATAAAGGCAACATATAGTGGCAGACTGTTCTACCAAAGGGGATGCCAGTCTGTCTGTCATGTATCAACTGAAGGGACTCCTAAGGGGGAAGGGGAAGGTAACCACCTGGAATCACTCGACTTTACATAAATGGAGTCAGGTTAGCTATCACAGGAACACAGTACTAAAACTATGAAGGATTTTTGAGAATAAAAATTCCATAAAGTGCTAAAGATCTAAGCTAATTTACATGGGCCTAACAGCAAATGCGTGGGAAAAAAATGGAATCACAGAGACAAAGGAATCTGTGATGTGTTCAAGCCTTTCCATCTCTATAGGGAGGCACTCTGATTATGAAAAATACAGTCATTTTATAACTTATTTTTTATTTAAAATAATACATGTGACTAAAATATGAACATTTTAAGAATCAATACATAAAGATCACAAAATCCTTAAATCTTTATACTAACCACCCATAAATATCAATAAATATTACATATGCTAGCAGTTTCAGCATAATACCAGATGGTATGAAATTTGAAAAAAGACAGCAAAAATCAGTAGAAAATGGGCCAGTCAAATAAAAGCTAATCATTGAGACTCAAACTTTTAACATTTTTGTGACCATAAGCAACAAATACAATAAAAGGTGTAAATAATTGAAAGTATAATAAAAATGTAAATAAAAACAGATAATAATATAGTAACAAATACTGTTAAAATATACAAATAGTGCATGAGAAGCACTTTACATTCCTATAAATATGATTCTTGGCATTAATTTTGGCCTTTTTCCACAGTTTTTTTTTAAATGGTATGGTTTAAATCTTCTGGTTATAGGCAAACATAAAGCCATTTATTTATGCTTCTAAAATTGTAATGGTTCTAAACCTAGTACACAATTGGAATATGGAGAGTGATTTTTTTGTTTGGGGGGAAGTTAAATTTGGAATTATCTTTGCTTTCAGTAGTTGCAATCATTGAAATGGACAGAATGTTCCCTGATTTCTTTGGTGATCCTGAGCACAAAAATTTGGTCTAGAAACTCTTCTGTTTACGTAGAATACTAAGTCCACAATCTATATTAAATCATATATACATATATGCATATATATTAAACTGTCATTGCACCAGGCGTGGTGGCACACGCCTATAATCCCTGCACTTAGGAGGCTGAGGCAGGAGGATTGCTGTGAGTTCGAGACCAGCCTGGCTACATAGTGATTTCCAGATCAGTCTCAACTACCTAGTGAAAGAAGCCCTGTCTCAAAACAACAACAACAATAACAACAACAAAAACTGTCCTTGGGATAAATATAATGGGACAAAAAATAAACCTGCTTTACACAAGAACATAGACTGATATTAATTTAGCAGGTTTTGCTGTGTAGATTAACATTTATCTACATGAAATATACTGTAAATTCTAAATTTTAGACACTAATGAAGGAAGGACTTTCTGGATTCTTTATATGAAAAACTGAAGATACTACACACACTTAAGCAATAGATTTATCTTTTTAACTATTTTGCTTAGTTAATAACATTATATGTCTTCATTGCCTAAGGCATAATGACAGGACAGCAGCAGGAAAAAGCCTGGAAACTCAAAGACCTGTAAGCAGTCTGGTGCAAGAATGATCCCGTGTGTGCAGGACTGTGCTGACCACACACACACTTATAAACAGTACTTTCATAAACAAAGTCTGTCACTATGGCCTCACAAACAAAATGATTTCCAACTCTACTGCAGTCTGCTACTTATACACAATACCAGCTTCAAAAGAGAAAGGCACACTCAAAATATATTAAGCCAAATATGCATCCCTCTGAAAAGGGTAAATTGGGAAACAAATAATTCTGGAAAACAGAAATGCTTATAATAAAGATATACAGCAAATTAACTGCCTAGGCACAATTTCAGGAGCAAGAGTTACGTTTACGGCAATGGTTTAGTGATGTGGTAGAGACAGTAAACCACATTTAAGCAGTGAAAGTTCAACTCCAACTTAGTTCTTTAATGATTCTTTTTACTTAATAAGGGATTGCTTCATTGGAATGTTCAATGAAGACTTTTGTTTTTTAAATACATTTCAATTATGTCATATTTTATAAAACAAATGTCTAAAGTATTTAAGGTCAGAAAAATACTCATTAGGTGAAAAGCTCTATTTGTGTTTCTTTTTTTCCAGATGTTAGTTTATTTATAATATGGACCAGAAGTCTAATTTATTTTGGAGACATAGACACAGATAGATATAGATGATATAGATATAGATATAGATATATTCTTAAACTTGGAACAGGAGCCAGAGGGTTTGCCAGCGACTGGACTGCCAGCCTTGGGGCTCAGGCCCTGGTCATCTTGTCTGTTTCAGTAATGGATACAGTGCTTGGCTCACTGTCTCACACTTATCAGAACGGGTAATGCTTAACACAGAAGTCTCTACTACAATAAAGCCTTAGTTGTGCTATGAAAGAAGCTTTATGTATTCAGTGTGCTTTATGTATTCAGCTTCCTATTAGTATGCATGTAAAAATAAAAGTGAAATTTAGTCAGTCAATGAAGATAGACACCCCCAAAATGTAATATATACATATATTCTTTTACCTTTAAAAACATACTATAACATATATTGGAGATATACACTGAAGTATTCATGAATGAAATTATATGATATTTTGAATTTTCTTTAAAATATTATGAAGAAAGTGTATGTAAGTGGTAGATCAGGGCAATAGGCATTTGGTTTTTCATACTATTACCTGTACTTTAAGTGGTTTGAAAATTTTGGCAATAAAAATAATGACTTCAAAGAAGTTTCAACAATAAAAATAGAAAGGGTAAACTATTTTCAACTATTGAAACTACTACATAAGATAACTGGATATCTTACAAAGACTCATACAAGTCTATTTACATGACTATTATAATAGTGAAAAGTCAGCATCACCTTAAGTTTTAATTAGTAGGGAATTAAATACAGTATACCACATATAATGGAATACTATGCAAACATTAAAAAGACAAATTTCAAGTGAATAAGGATGTTCCACAGCAGGATGTAGAGCTTGATTCACTGTCATAGAAGTAACCATGAGAGATACCTGGAAGAGTGTTCATCAGTGTTCAGGGTGGGCATCACTGCAAAAAGGAATTACAAAGAGTTTTTACTTTTTCCTGGAACTGCTCTGAGTTACTCAAACTTTTCACAGTAGTATTTATTCATTTTATAATCAAGGGAAATTATTTTCTGTAAAGATAGCCTATAATTTTTTTCATTTCGTTATTCTTTCTAGCTGATAGAATGACTTAGTATTAAAAACTGGCAAGTCTGGCAATTCAAAGTGAGAAAGTGTTATACTTCCAAAACAACATGAAATCCGGAATAGATTTTATTTATTTCTTAAAATGTAAGTAAAAATTTTTAAGGCACATTTTTTCCTCAAACACCTACAGAGTGCATTGAAATGAAAATGTCAAAGAGTACATAACCAATATTCAGGAATAGACTTAAATACTTTTTAGTTAATTCAAATCAGGTTGAAAATTGTATTAGTTATAGGAAAAAATAGCATTTTTAAAGAAAAAAAAAGAAAATGTTTTCTAGTTGGCTCTTAAAGAATTTGAAAGTATTCTAATAGTTCTATGCAAAAAAGTGTATATTTTAGTAATATGTTTGTTCATGGAATAAAATGTAATTTCCAGATGCATAATTCTGTGACTTAGCACTGCAGCATTTTGGGTATACATTTTAATTTAAAGATTAACCCTGAAAGCTCACTTAAGCTCTATTGTCTTGGGTATGCATCCCAGAGGAAGTAATCTAATTGTAGTCATGTTCCTTGCAGGTAGCTTACTGCAGATGTGCTTGCTTCCTAGTCTGCAAAAGCCCCAGAACAGAAAGGGAGGGACCCTGAGCCGGGTGTGTGTGTGTGTGTTTCAACCCACTGTCTATCCTTCTTTGAGGCCTTTATTATACAAAGCAGTTGATTTTAAAGGTATCAAGGAAATTAAAAAGTAGTTCCTTTTTACCAAGGGACTAGGTATCCCTAAGTGTAGCAATCTCAGTTTAAGTAATGTAAAGAAAAACAAATAAAAAGGTATCACCTCAGTTACTGGTAGACATTCTCTTCTGTCATATTCATGTTCTAAGCTTTAGCAATGGTGAGAAATTTGTTAGGTATCGACTTATCTAAGTAATGTATCTATATCAGATTTAAGAAGAGTATTTTGTTACAAATTAGCTGTATAAATGCAGTTATGTTCCAGTAGGTATACTGTTTCTTAATTATTATGTTTCTAGATGATTTGGAGCAAGTCATTTAAATTTTTACTTAAGAGTGTTAAAGGTTTAGCTAGCATATCATGAATATCCCCAGATTAAAAAAAAATTTACCTGTCTCCTAGAAGAACTGGGTTTTCCATAATGCATAGTATTGGAATAACGCTTCTTTGAAGTTTCTGACGACTCAGGACATACTTTTCTTTTAGACCTGTGGGCTGTTCTACTTATTATCAACCTGTGGTCACTTAGATCAACTTCATTAGTTTGATTTGCTGGCTGTTGTAGTAGTTGGGGATCTTCAGTTTCTGTGTCTGGTTCAAAAATGTATAGGTGCCTCTTTGGTTTTACTGGCTCATGGTCTTTCTTTAAAATCTGTGTTATACATTTACTTGCTACATTTTCTTTTCCATGGAAGTCCACAGCATTTTTCATCACACTTCCACTATTATTTGACACCTGACACATCATACTGTTAGAAAGTTGTTTACTTTCATTTAAGCTCATATTAAGAGATGGATATTTTATATTTTCATAGCATTCAGTATTTTTTTCTTGCAGAGGTATACAGCCCTTCTTATTTAAATGTTCAGCATTTATAGGAATGTTACTATTAGGTCTTTTTTTACCAGTTGAATCTAAATTCGGTTTGTCATTCTGGATTAGTGAAGACAATTTTGATTCCATTATGACATGCTGTTTTCTTTTCTGGTTTAGAAGTACTGAAATATTTTTGTTCATTGATGACAATCCATTTTTGAGAACTGGTATGAATTTAGGGATGATCTTACTTTGAGAGCTAAGACTTGTGTGTGGAACTTGAGTATTTTCTCTGCTGGGTTTTGATTCTTCCAAATGTAGTTGTGGTAGCTTGTGAGGCAGAGTTTGCTTTCTACTTAGAATAGACTCTGGCTGGTGAGGCAGAACTGAGAAAATGGCCGATTGTGACTGGCTGATGGAAAGCTCCACCTTGTGGTCTGCTACTTCAGAACATGGGAGAAGGCTTGGAGCTGGAACAGGTTTTCTGGAACTAGCTTGAGTCACAGATGCCCTGAACAGTTTTTTAGTGGTCAGGTTGGGTGGCTTGACTTTGTTTTCCTGCAAGGATAGAGAAGTTTTCAAATATAATAATATCATTAACTGGAAAGATATCAAATATAAAATATCAGAAAAATAAGAATAGAAAATTAGGGTGTGATGATGCATGCCTGTAATCCCAGCACTAGGGACACTGAATTGACAGATCTCTGTGAGTTTGAGGCCAATCTGGGCAACAGCTCAAGGCCCTTCTGAACTACACAGTGAGGCCCTACCTGCACCAAGAACAGAAATAATATTATACTGGCAAGAGGTGGAACTGCTTGGAGCTAGCCCCAGCTCCCAACCTTGGCAGGGCTTGCAGTCCCCCTCCCCTGCCCCTGGCATGCACCTATGGCCTCCTGCCTGTGCTAGTTCCTGGATTCACACCACAGAAGCAGAGGGGATCATACAGGCCACTGTCCTGAGCTTTAGCCTTGATTTTGATTTAATTCATACATTTAAAGGTGATAGATCAGTAACTACCACAAATTGTCATTTTCTAAGCTGTGCTTGATGTTTTTGTGTTGCTGATTGTATCACTTGGGCTACAATGTTATGATCTAATCAGTTGTCCTTCCTGGTATAATGAAAAAGAGATTGCCTAAGTCATTAGACTCAAAACCTAAAGACAAGTTACAACAGGAAGATCGAAGTATTAACCCAGGTGTCAAATGAAGGACAGTACCAACAACAAAAATAAAAATGGAAAGACATTCAAACAAGGCTCAAGAACAAACACAGACTTCCAGTTTACCAAGGGAAAATTCTGGGGGAAATGAGGTGGAAAAGTCTGACAATCAGCCACCTGGACACCCTGAACTGACAGCACAGGAAGTAACAAAACAGATGAATGAGGCTCTAGAAAAATCCAAAACAGAAATAATTTTCCAGATAACTAGAGAGATGGCGAGCAGAATGAATGACATGATTACAGACTCTAGAACAGAAACAGATTAAAAAAAAAAAGTACATGAGCTCAGGACCCTGATAAAAGCCATGAATGCCCAGCATAGGAAATAAATGGAAACCACGAAGGCCCAATATAGGAAAGAAATGGAATCCATGAAACAGATTCAGATATCCAGGAAATTAAAAACTCTATTGAAAGTTTCCATAACAGACTGAGCCAATCTGAAGACAAGATATCAGATATAGAAGACAGGATGGAGATCAGTGACCATGAAGAAGGATCTCTTAAAAATAGTAAGGGAACATCAGAAATCAATCCAACAGCTCCTAGATGATACAAAGAAGAATAATATAAGACTTATAGGAGTCCATTAAAAAGCAGGAGAAAGTGCAAATGACATAAAAAATTGTTCACATAATTAATGACAGAAAACTTCCTAAACAGAGCAAAAGAATTTGACATACAGATAGGGGAGGCATATAGGACTCCAACCAAAAATGATAAAAAAAAATCTACACCTAGACATGTCATAATCAAGATCCTGAAACCCAACAGAAGAACAAAATACTGCAAGCAGTTAGAGAAAAGAAACAAATCACACGCGAAGGAAAGCTCATCAGAATCACAGCAGACTTTTCAACACAAACCCTCATGTCAAGGAGAGCCTGGAGTGAGGTATTTCAAGACCTAAAAGAGAACGACTTCCAACATAGACTGATGCATCCTGCAAAACTATACTTCAAAATGGATGGGGAAATAAGATATTTCAATGACAAAGAACACCTGAGAAAGTTTATGAATGCCAAACCAGCGCTACAAACAATTCGAAATAATATCCTAGAAAAAGACAACGAAGGTCACTACTCCATGAGGCCCAACAGAGCAAATCCAGTATGCAAGGCAAGAAATTAAAGGGAAATGGGGGAAAAATTGAAAAGAGCCAACAACAGGATAATAACACAATGATGATAAATCAATACAAATCAGTTATAACCATTGATGCAAAATGGCCTCAACTCACCAATCAAAAGAAATAGATTGGCAGAAAGGATTAAGAAGCAAAATCCAACCATACTCTGTATACAAGAAACCCACTTAATCCACAAAGAAATTAATAGACTGAGAGTAAAAGGATGGAAAACAGTTCTCTGTGCACCAGGAACCTGGAAAAAAGCAGGGGTAGATATCTTATTTGCACACAAAGTAAATTTCAAACAAAAACTGATTAAGGGAGACAAAGAAGGTCACTACATCCTTTTAAAGAGAACAATCCAAGAGGAAGAGATGACAATTATAAATATACATGCACCAAATACTGATACCCCCAACTATACAAAACAAATATTAAGGGACATGAAAAACTAAATAAGCATTAATACAATTGTAGTGGGTGACCTAAATACCCCACTGTCACAAATAAACAGGTCTTCTAGACAAAAAATGACAACAAAATACTAGAATTGAGCCAAGTTTTTGAACAAATGGACTTAACAGATGTCTAGAGTATTCCACCCCAGAAAATCATAATGTAAAATTCTTCTTGGCTGCAGATGGATCATCCTCCAAAGTAGACCAAATACTACCTCATAGAACATGTTTAAGTAAATGCAAGGAATTGGAATTATCCCATGTACATTATCAGACCATAGTACAATTAAACTCAAGATCAATTGCAAAGGAAACTGCAAAAACTTCACAAACACATGGAAATTGAATAACACTCTCCTGAACAGCCAATGGATCATAGAGGAAATTAAAGAAGAAATTAGACAGTTTTTATGAATAAATGATAATGCCAGTACAACATACAAGAATCTATGGGATACAATGAAAGCAATTCTTTAAGGGAAATTTATAGCAGTGAATGCCCACACTAGGAAAACAGAGTGAGCTCAAATAAACAACCTAATGCTGAATCTTAAGCTTCTAGAAAAAAGAAGAGCAAGACAAAACCAAAGCTCATACAAGAGATGAAATTATAAAGATCAGAGAAGAAATTAATGAGAATGATACAAAAAAAAAATCAATGAATTGAAGAGTTGGTTTTTTGAGGGAATAAATAAAATCAATAAAC